TGATGTCACCATTCAGAGCTAAGCCTTAAAAAAAGAAGTGCAGCCTCTGTCACATTTTCTTGGGGTATTTGTTCTTGGAAATTTAATATTAACCAAAAGCAATCCAAATAGGCCACAGCAGATATGAAAGGTAAGATGTTTGTTTGTTGATCTGTTTAAAATTAGCCTAAAATTCACAGTAATCCACCTGCCTCTGCCTCCTGGGTCATAAATTTGAGCCAGCAAACCTGACCTATGATACGATCTCATACACAGATTCTACTACAGTATTTAGACAAGATGCCCTAGCATAATTAGTTAGAACAGCAAGCAAGAAATTCCTGCATAGCCATCCCAGAACTACAGATTTACAAGCAAAATAAATGATTGGATGTTGTTACTGTTATTTCAACTAAGCATTAAGGTTGGTACATTGTGTGGCAATCAATAACCAGAAGAGACTTTGACAGTTGGAGACTGGGTGGTCTAGTAGAAAACCTAAAACATGTGGCTTTAACATTGTGACATGTCAGCAGGTAGAAGCTGGGGAACCTGAAATTACTATGAACGCCTAAAAGCTCAAGGGGGAAGCTGTTGGGGACTCAAGGAGCTTTGCCAAAGCCACTGGTGAGGGCTTCAAAGAGAGGAACGGTGACTGCAATCTGTGAAGGATCCTCATCTCTCTGAAATCTTTGCCTTAAATATCGTCATTAATCATGGCCAAAAATGCACGAGTGTATCACAGGCCTGGTGTGCTAGCTCAACCTTATGACCCTAATAATCGGGAGTCAGAGACAGGGGGTTACTGTGCATTTTTGACCAACTTCAACAACATCATCAACTGAGTATACACATAAAGAACAGGCATAAACGCAGTAAGATGGCAGCTTTCCACAGCCAGCAAGAGAGCCCTCACCCAAAGCCTGAACATGCTGGCATCCCAGATTTGCAGAACACAAAATGGTAACAGAATAGAAGTCCTAGTGTTCCCATTGGTAGTGGGGAGAGGGTGATTTTCAGAATCCAGCCAGTGCTTTGAAGGAAAAGCATGTCATCCACAGAAGATGAACGATCTCCACACCACTGCCTCAGCTAAGCTCACAGTTCATAACCATTACAACCTGCCTGGTATCCAACCAGGCTCCATCTTCTAACTAGACTTGACATCAGTGGTTCTCTATAGGCTGGAGATGTAGCTCAGAGTTGGAGCGATTAGCACGTATAGTGCCCTGGGTTCAATTCCTAACATGGAAAAGGAAAAAAAATAAAGGTGGATTTCCAAATACTTCAAGTGAACAATCCTGGCTGACACAATGCTATAGAAAGGTGATCTTTGCAAAAAAAAAAAATACCCTGAAAGACTCACAGATCCATGAGACAATAAATCACAGTTATCAGTACAAGCTTAAAGGCTTTTAAATAGCAATAGACAGACTGAATAGGCATTCTCTCTTTATAACTGTACCTTCTGCTTCCAGGAGAGGTTAAATGCTCTTCCCTATCAACCTTCAAAGGGCTCTATGAATTATTATATCCTTACATACCATACAAGATGACAACCTTTGCCATTCACTTAACCACCTTCTCAGGTGTCTTACAGCAGGGCTAGTTGGGACACTGTCTCCTCAAATATGTTACTTTCAGAACTCTGACACTTTGATTAGAGATGTGAGAAATTCTTGGTATGTAAACTCCATGGCATATATGCTTTTATTTGATCATTTTCCTTTCTGCAGAGTGATCTGAGAGTTTTCTTCTTAGCCCATTTCCCATCCTTTAACATGTCCTTCAGCTGGAATCTCTTAGACCATCCTTACACTGAGTTTTTTTTTTAATTCACATGTTGTATGTACCATCCTTCTCCAGTTCTAGAAGCTTACTTTTTCTTCTCAAATATATTGTGGTGTTTATTTTTCCAAAGCTTCTCTATGCCTTAAATTACTTCGGCATGATCTCTTTATCTTTGTGTGGTCATTTTATACTCCACAACTGATAATTACAATCTGTAAAGTGTTTTCAGGTGTGTATTTTTTCTTCTTTCTGCTAGTTCTTGTTTGAGAATCCTTTCTCTTCAGCTTTAATTACCTTAAACTGCTAATTTTAATAGGATAAATATATGATGAAATTATTTAGATGCCGAAAGGAGAGAGAGTATTCTACTCTCTTTCCAAAGGGGGTTATAATTGTTTCTGCTTCATTCCCAAATGCTGTAAACTAAATTCAGTTTTCAGAACTTCTACATGAGATGAATTGTGGATGCTAATCTGTACAAGGGTTAGTTTACACTATGAGTTCCTCAGGAGTCCCCTACCCCATTTTCCCCACAACAAATCAAGACTGTGAAGTCTTTGGGATGGAGGGCTTGAGACACCATAATTTGTGATTACCATTCAGGGTAAACCTTAAAATCCAAGTCTACTGAGGATAGTGTTCATAGTAGAGTCCTCAAACTGGGCAGGCATGGAGATCTTTCTATATCTAAATTACTCTCTTCAAGCATCATGTCTCAACAGTGGGTTACTTAGAACAAATGTGGCTTTGCTGCCGTACAGGCTTCCCACATGCTCTACCTTTGCTCTACCTGCTTCTCTAATGAAACCGGCTCCAAAGTCAGGTAAGATCCAGCCATGTGAATTTCTCATGAGCTTTTTAAAGACATTTCTTTTCCCTTCTCTTCCCTATATCTTTATACAGCATTCCTTGTTTACAGCAGAGAGTTGACCAGAGACTAATTAGCCTCTGTACCTGGGCACAACTCTTCTTTATCCCAAGTTTCCGAGCATTTGGGATACTTCTGGCACATCAAGGAGATCAAGATGCTGACAGATGACTAAGGAGAAACCGCCCTTCCACACTTGCACTCCTTCCTCTGTCGTCGCTCCTGACCCCTCCCTGTGTCTACGCCCTCGTCAAAACTCCCTTACAGCTTTTCACATTTTGACAATACTTTCCTGCCTCAGTGAACCATTCCTGTCAAGTCTACCACATGCTCTGTTACCTATCTTATCGCAAAGTTGCGGCTTTCAGCCATTTCTACAGATGCTATGAGCACTGGTTTCATGCTTTAAGATAGTATGTGAATCACTGATTCAGCCTGCCTATGTCTATAGCCTGTGCTCATCTGACCTCCTACTATCCTTACATCTTTTCTAACTTGTACTGTCACATGAGAACTTCTATCTGACCCCCCACATCCTTTAGCACCTAGTTCTTTGTTTACCATTCCTAATTCACCTTGTCCCCTGACATAATGTAGTACCATAGTACCAGATAAAAAAACCCACAAATTCCATCACTCAAGTTCAAGCCCCAGATCCAACACTATTAACATAATCCTGACATGCTACCTGATGTCTCAGGACCTCCATTTCTTCATTTAAAGTGAGGGATAATATTAATATCTTACAGAATCCTAGGAGTTATATGAGGTGATGCACATAAAATACTTAGAACATGTAATAAGTACATCATAATTTTTAACTATTTTTATTACTATATTTTCACCTTATCCAAAAAAAATCTTCCTTCTGTATGCTTATGATTCATACAGTGCTCTGGACTCAACACTCCCCAAAGTCTACTTGTTCATCTCTTAAAATTTCTATCCAATTCTGGGTTTTACTTCAACCCTTCTTTCTTTTTTCAACCACTGCTTCCTCACCACACCCTTCGACCTGAACCAAGAGCCTTGTACATACTAGACAAGCACTCTACTGCTGAACTATGCCCACTATAATGTGCCAACTTATGCAGTAATAAACACATTTAAAAGTGTAGCAGAATTTCTCTATAATAATAACAACCACACTTACCTCTTTTCATCTCTGGGCAAGGAATGTATGTGTTTACCTGGGCTATTGATGGCTGACATCTACCCATTCGTTTCTTTCTTTGGATATTTCAACTATAGTACCTCCCTCCACCAGAAAAATCCTTCCTACCTTCGAACTAGACCAAGCCTTAATTATCCTAAAATGAGTTACCATTTCCTTCTCCTCCCTGCTTTTTTCCTGTGCTACCTTCATAACTCTTTGATATTGTCCATGTAACCTGTGTTTTCCATTCCTATTATTATCTCCAGAGTTTCATGGTTTTACCACTTCTCACCTGGGTTTACAAGCTCACTTCTATAATTCATCATACATAGATAAGCAGCCAGTAGATTGTCAACCTTTCTCATGCTCCAAAGAGCTTCTCTTCCAAACTTTACCAAAGGTCCTGTTGATATACTGAGTATCAGCTTGAATCTTTCCTCCTCCACTCACTTGTATAGAAACATACCGTATACCATCAATGGTCAGACAAATACTCATGTTCAGACATAGGCCCAATCATTTATTTATTGTAAATAAGATATAAACTCATTTTCTTTAGCAGTGAATGGAGACAATACTTGTCTTGTCTTACCCACTAGTTTGCAACACGAATTTAAAAAAGAAAAAAACAAAGATCAGGCATATTTACGCCTTTAATCCCAGTACTTGGGAAGCAGAAACAGGCAGGTCTCTATGAGTTCAAGGCCAGCCTGTTTTAGATAGTGAATTCTAGGACAGCCAGAGCTACACACTGAGACCCTGTCTTAAAACTAATCCTCTCCAAAATAAACAAATAAGCAAAAAACAGACACGAAGAAAGAACAGATACAAACATGCTATTATATAATAAAATACATTTAGTAGTGAAATGTAATTTGATAAGTTAGAAACAAATAGGATGCTGTAAGGTCTCTATAAAGACTCCTTCTACCAAGGACCCAAAGCACTACACCTGACCTAGCTTCCTAAAAATTAAAGCGCATCCAAGTAGCTTCAACATGGCAGAGCCATTGCCATGAAGTGCCCTTAATCATTAAGAAGCTTCACATTGAAACTCATGGCTTACATGTATTCACTTGAACTGCAAAATTGATCATTGGGGCACTTTAGTTTTGATAATCTAGTATTAAATAAAGTATTAATAATGTATTTTCACTTATGTGAGTATGCAAATTGAATTGGCCAATTGAGATCAGGAAATATTACCAGTTCTCGGAGAAGGTGCTCTTGCAATTTCTAAGGAGCAGGGTTTCTTTGTAACAGCTGTGTCCACGAGTTCACAAAGGAAGTTCTCATTTTCTGAAGGGAATGTGTCCAGAGAAGCAGATGGTACGATTTCCATGGGGTAATTCCTCTTCTTTGGATAAGACTCCTGGAAAGGAGAGGGAAGAAAAAACTTCTTGGTAAAATTGAAGTCTTGTCTGATTTATAAAAATCAGGAAAGATCACTGGATCCATCAGTATCAAATTGGCTGAGAACTGATGTTCATCTACTTAGAAAGGTCCTATAACCATGTCACCCCATTGTGGCCAGTGATATTTTTCAAGTGTTCTTATCATTTGGTTCCCCTGATACTGCATTGGTTATTAAGTTTTGATCTGCCTCTGGTACACACACACACACACACACACACACACACACACACACACACAAACACATTTCCTAGTCACAGAGTAAACCGTTTTAATCAACCATTATTTCCAACACTCTGCCCTTTGCCTGCCTCCTAGAGATACCAATGTAACTCAGCCTGGACCACTATGACACAAGCAGAATCCTTTGGGAGGCTTCTGAAAGGATTTTTTTCCCCAGAGAAGTTTGTGAGGAGGCTATTTCTAGGCTCCTCTCTAAGTGAGGGGAAGATTTTTTTTCTACAATGCAAACTCAAGATTGGAAAAGTTGCAACATTAAGATAAGAGTGTCGGTATCATTGGGTAGCTTGAATAGACCCAGGACCAGTTTCTTCAGGCTTCATAAGTAAATATTAGCATCCTTATAGTGTAAAGTATTGCTATTTGAGTTTTCTCTCAGAATTATAAGTATTCCATAGAAAACATTAATATTTTCTCCTTGTGAATACTGTTAACTATACAACTAATAAACTACCGCTAACTCTTTTAAAGGATATGATTTAGATCCAAAATTTATGTTACTAAATTCTTCAACATATTCTAAAAACCACAGTTCAATTAATTGAATGATATCTTAATTTCTTAAGAATGATGTATTAACTAGTTACCAATAATTATTGGACTTTCCCCATGTGTTTGTATGTGTTTGAGTATGTAAGTGTGAGAATGTGTGAGTGTGTGTTTAAATGTGTGAGTGTGTTTGAGTGTGTGTGATTGTGTGTGTGAGAATGTGTATGTTTGAGTGTATATTTAAGTGTGTATGTTTGAGTGTGTGAATTTTAGTGAGAATGAATTTGAGTGTATGAATGTACATTTGAGTGTGTGTGAATGTGTGTGTGTGTGTGTGTTACTATGTTAAGCACAGAGGCTAAGCACTGGAGATTTTAAGTTAGTAAGACATAGATAGCCCTTGCTGTTGGGGAGTTCATAGTCTTCTACAGAAGACAAATAACCTGCACGATGGAGTGCAGAATGAATCACATTTTATTTTTTTCCTGTTTGCTATCTTATAAAGCACACTTTACAACTGAGAAACAAATAACAAGAATATAAATTCATTTTCCAACAATCTTTCACGATGGACTCCAGGGTTGATACAGATTCCATGTCAGCTCCTCCTTTCTCTGTAATGATATTTACAGTGAGTGCAATTCAAGGTCAGGGTAATTGCTTTCAGACCACACCAGACCCTCACACATCAAAGAGTCAATTATGTTCACTCTACTCTTCTGAAAGCGGGAAATTGAGAGTAATTTATTTTTAACAACAAAGGGTGACAAAGTAGAAAGCATCCAGAAGAAGCAATCAGGAGGGTATGTGCTTTAAAACGCATGTCAGAGAAGAAAATGATGAAAGGAGACACAGCGCTCTATCCAGAGAAGCTGCACAGCCACCCAATGGTTTTCTCAACATATCTGAAAAGCTCTCCCTCAAGGGCTGTCTCACAAAGTGGAGGGAAGGGCATAGCTCTTAAGAGGCAAACAACAACAACAACAGTAAGACAAAAAAGTCTAATGTTTATAAGACAAGGTATGGAAATGAGAGTCAATACCCAACGTAAGTTTTATGAATTAATTGTATTGATTTTCTTATAAAATAAGCATACTCTGACAAAATAATAAGCTGACAAACATGACTAGAAAGCAACAAGAGTAGACTCTCCATTGCCTGACATCTCCAGCTACTTATCTGTGAATGAGATTACAGATGACCATTGCCAGAAACCTCCAGCTAGTTCTCTGGATGAGATTAAGGGTGAAGCACATTTGTGGCACTATACCAGATAACTTGGCTTTGCTCCATGTACTTTGCCCTGTGTACCACCCTATCTCCAGAATTGGCTACAGACCCTGCCATACAACAGAAGCTGAATAAGCCCTGTGCATCTGCTGGATAGTCCCTTGTCCTTTATGTAGATAGCAGTACTGTTGTATAAATGATTTTACCAGTTTTGTTTGTTTGTTATTCTTTACTTCATTGTCTTTCAAAACTGAAAGACTATGGCATACATATGCAATCCCAGAGATACATGAGGCTGTGTCAATGATTTTTTACTTAAAATGAGGCCAGCAGACTGGGTAGCACAGTGAAAGAAAGGAAAATAAAGGAAAAAAACAAAAGAAAGAAAAGTAGGAGAGAAAAGAGATTTTGAGGTTACAACAGTAAATCTGAATACAGTCTAATCAAAGAGTCTCTAATCTTATTCCAGCGGGAATGGCAAATATCAACAAAACAACTGGCAACAAATGTTGGAACAACTATAAAAAATAATGAGGAAGAGGGGGAGAAAGAGGAATAGGAGGAAAAGGAGTAAGGGGAGGGGGAAAAGTTAAAAGGAGGGAACAGGAGAAAGATGAAGAGAAGGAAGAAAATGAGGAAGAAGGCAGGAGGAGGAATTGGAGGAGGAGGAAGAAGTAAAGGAAAAGGAAGTCGAAGAGAAGAGGAGGAAGAGAAGGAGGAAGAAGAGAAGGAAAAGCAGAAAAGGAGAAAGAATAGGAGGAAGAAGAGAAGGAGGAAGGTGAGGAAGAAGAGGAGGGAGAGGAAGAATAAAAGGAAGAGGAGAAGGAGAAAGAAAAGAAGAAAGAGAATGAAGATAGGAGGAGGAAGAAAAGAAAGAGGATAATGAGAAAGAGGAGGGTGAGAAAGAGGAGGGTGAGAAAGAGAAGGAAGAGGAGAAAGAAGAGGAAGAATGGAAGGAAGAGAAGGAAGAAAGGAGGAGGAAGAGGATAATGAGAAAGAAGAGGGTGAGAAAGAGGAGGGGAGGAAGAAGAGAAGGAAGAAGCAGAAGAAGAAGAGAAGGAAGAGGAGCTGGAAGAAGAGACAGAAGAAGAGGAAGAAAGGAAGAAAGGGAAGAGAAGGGAGGGAGGGAATAAAGGAAGAAAGAAAGGAAGGAAGGAAGGAAGGAAGGAAGGAAGGAAGGAAGGAAGGAAGGAAGATTTTCAGCACTGAAAACATATATACAAGTGACATTATACAGACTGAGCAGGGTTTTATATGTATATAGATATATGTATGTAACTATAACTAATGAAAAGATAGGCCATGAATTTGAAAGAGAACAAGTAGAGTATAACTGGAAGGTTCTGGAGAGAGGACAGGGAAAAGAGGAATGATATAATGACATTATAATCTCCAAAATAAAATAATTAGAAATGTCTCCAGGTAAAACACTGCATTAAAAATTTCAGAGAAATTCATGGACTTGTTAAAGTTTCAGTGTCACTACTTATGAAGAATTAACAGGAATTTTAAATCCTTAAAAATGAATTGGAAATTTAATTCTTAAGGATGGACTAATTTACACTCTCCATTTCCTTAAGCACAGGCTGATTCCAAATCTTGACTTCTGTGAGTAGGGCTACAATAATCATAGGAGTCATTATAACATCTCAGCACACTCATTCCATATCTAATGGGTAGATACCGGGAATGGGTTGGATCATTCACAATATTTTCAATTATTTGAGAAACTCTATTCCATTTACCATAATGACTGTATCAACTGATAATCCATCCACTGGTGTTCGTAGGTTTCATTTTCTCCATATTCTCTTAATACTACTGAATTTTTATCTTCTTAATAATAGCCATTCTACCAGCCATGATATCTTATTGTAATTTTGATTTGCATTTCTCTGATTATTAGGTAGAGGCCTTATTTATACCTATTGGCCATCCTACATATGTTCTTTATGAACAGCTCTCCAGACCCTTTGACCATTTTAAAGAGTTGTTTCCAGCTCTGGAGTTGTTTGAGTGCTATGTACGATGATACAAACCCATGATGTTTGGTTTACAAATACGTTATCCTGCTTCATAAGTTGTCTTTTCACTCTGCTCTTTCTTTTACTGAATAAAATCTATTTGTCCAAGGTAATCCACTTGTTTACTTTGTTTTTGTTGATTATATTTGCACATAGGTAAAAAAAAACATTGCCCAGCCCAATATCATGAAGTTTTTAATTCTGTTTTCTTCTAGTACTTTTCCAGCTTCAGGTTTTATGTTTTAAGTCCATTTTAAGTTAATTCTTGCAGAGTATGAGATGAAAATCTAAGATAATATTTCTATGAAGCTATGAGGTTTTCCACAACAAGTTATTGAAGAGACTGCCCCTCTCCTCTTTTTTGTTTTGAGTATCTCTGTATCTATAATTATTTTTCCTTCAAGAATTTGGCAACAGTGTCTGACTGTGTAGCTCAGTTTTCAATCCCTTGCCCAAGCCTCCAAAGTACTGTGATCATAGCAATATACTGCTACAACTAACTTTCTATAAATCATATATTAACATAAATTATATATAAATTTCATAGTCTTTTATTTACTTCCAAAAATATATTATGAACTCTTTTCAACGATAAATATATTTGGTCCTCAATTTTGATGTTTGACAAGATTTTCTGATTCTATGATATACAAGAGCAACATATATTCATATGAACTATATTCCAAATTTTGAGTTTCATCTTAGATTAGCCTAGTAATATGTAATATGTCCCCCTATGAGACTACTCAGTGGTGGCAAATCACAGGTCTCAGTGAATCATGTGATCTAAAGGGTAACTCAATGTTACACTAGAATATATTTTATTGCTAAACTATGATGTGTGCCAGATTTGATGAAGTAAATACAGTGTTGGTTTAGAATATTTTTAACTTGCAATAGATTTATCAAGATTTGATCCCATGCTAGGTTGAATGCATTTGCACATGTTCAATTAATAAATTTAAGGTTAGATTCC